GTCAGGTGCTTATTTGTTTCCACGAAAAAGGATTTGCTCGCAAGCAGTTTTCCCAGGCTGCGGGTGGGGGAGGTGTGCATATGCATCCTCTGAGGCAGACAGAAAGATGACGGAGGGGATTTTGGAGAGACTGGTAAGGCCCCATCCTGCACACCCTCGGCATGTGCTCTACCTTTCAGTTTGCTGGTAGACATTACTGTAATTTTTCTTCCCGATCATTTACTTTTCATCCCAGTTTCAACCCTATTATGGTCACACCTGCAGCCACCGGCCAGTCGTGTTCCTGGACTTCTCGTTCCTGTGTGGAGCAATCCCTTTGCAGGGGCCTGGCTGCAGGCAGAGCTCGGCAAATCTGCTCTGGCCAAAGCCGTTATTTTTGCTTTAACGTCCCTAGTTTTGAGACTTCCTCCAACAGTCTTCCCTCCAGCAGCTGGGGTGCTGGCAGCCCTTGTCTCTGGATAATCCCGCGCATGGAAATGCCTTCTGTTTCTGCTCCGCATCCCCCAGCCGAGTCATTACAGGCCTGGGCTTGCAGCCGCTACTGAGCGATGGGTGCCCTCGGCAGAGCGCTGGGCTGGGGGGAACAAGCACTTACTGGTGTCACCCCCATCCTGGCCGCAAACTGGACGTCGCAGCTCTGGCACGTTTGCAGGGATCATCGACAAATGCAGCGTGGCAATAGCAGGGGAAAAAGGGCTGGGCTGGTTTAGCGATGTTTGAGCAATCCCATCTGTTGTCTGAGCTGCAACAGACACTGGGGAAGGGAATATTTGTGTTTGCACTTGGTGCCAAGGCTCTTCCCAGAGCTGCGAGGGCTGCGAGTGATCAGTCCCAGTGCTTTTACAGCTGTTCGCTCCTCCGTTCGGGCTGCGTTCCTCACAGAGCTGAGCAACTGTTGTTTCCAGCATGACATCATGAGTTCGACCAAACCCTGGGATTATCCACCTGCTCGTCTGCGCCGTTCCCGGATGGCTGACGGTCGAACTGCAGGCAGCCTCCTCCATGACTTGCATCGCGCTTGCTCCTGGCTGGAGCTCACCCGAAGCGCCCACAGCCTCTCGGGCCATCCCTCGATGTGAAAAGTCCATTTCTGCGAGGTATCGAGTGACCCGCTCCCAGGGCTGGGTTGAAACCGGCTTTGGAGAGGCGGGATGCTGGCTGGCACAGGAGGACGTGCTCCCCCAGGCTGTGCGTGCCTTTTCTGCTTCCCGACGAGCGTAATTAAGGGTTCCTGCGCGGCTGCCGAGGTCTTGTTCTCGGCTCTGGCTCAGGCAAGGATGGATCTGAATTGTGCGAGTCATTAGTGGCTCCGGCAGGAGAAGAGGCAGGGTGCACCCATGGGCTTGCAGGGATGAGCCTCCTCCCCAAAGGTCAGCTTTTGTTTGGTCTTATTTTAAGTTTTTTAAGTGGTGAGCTAACGGCAGGAGCTGAACCCAAAGGTGTGCTGGTGCCTGAGCACAGCCTGCAGTGAGAAAGCAACCGTGGACGTGTGCGGGAGAGCATCCCGCGCTGTCCTGGCTAGGTGACGACGGCAAAACCTGCATGGGCATTTTCTGTGCTAGCCCCCATCCTGGGGCACAGAGCCGGTGTGGACGTGGCACCGTGGCAGCTGATAAAAGCTGGTGTGGACGTGGCAATACGGCAACCTTTCCTGCGGGTTTGATGTTACAGCGGCACGGTGGAAGCGCTGGCGCTGGCTTTGCGTCTGGCCCCCAGTCTGGCACTGGGACGTCACCTGGCACTTTCTCCGTGACGCAGGTCAGCGCCGGGACAACCGCGGCCACTGGCTGCCGAGGCGGCTCAGCCGGGACCTGCCGCCGTGTCCCCGGGGCGAGCCAGGACCGGGCACTGCCCGTGCCCTGCGGCTGCCAACCCTGCTGGGACGGGAGGTTTTACCCCGTGCTGCCAGGGCTGGTGGGGGGCACGAGGGCAGTGCCGGCCCCATCGGGGTCCCTGCTGTTGCCTCGCTGGTCCCCGCGACCCGTGGGACGGGGACGCACGCACCCAGAGCTTGCAAAGCCTTTAAGCTCCTCCTGTGATGGGCGCAGCAGAAGGGCAAAGGATTACGCCTGCGTCTGGGTTTGGATGAATGAATAACAGCATTCAGGGTCTTTTCTGTGTGATAGAGGAGCAAGAACTATTTTAAGGCGGGAAGAAAGTTGGTCGGGCAACAGCTAAATGAGTCATCACAGCCTAATTTTGTGAACAGGGGGCCAAGGTGAAGAGAAGCCCAGTCCACACCAAACTGCCCTGAGCGCGCCCGTGCTCGCGCCTGGGCTGGCAGTTGGACACCAGCTTTCTTCTTTCCTTTTTGGGAAATCCAAAGGATTTTGCTTTTCCTGGCGTCTTCCCAGCCCCTCACTGACATCACAAAAATAAGGGCCAGAGACGTCCCGAGCCCCTTGCCGGCACCGGTGCCTGGGGGTCCCGCTGCCCTCCCCACGGCTCACCTGAAGATGCTGATGCAGAAAAGCAGGAATTGGGGAGGATCCTGCAAATACAGCTATTGTTTTACATTTTAAATTAACTCGTGCTGGTGTCACGACTTGCTTTTCTCTGGATTTTAACTCATGCCGCTGTAGTGGTTTGCATTTCTCTGGATTAGCAGCAGGACTTTTAAAAATGGGTCTAAAAGCCTGCATTTGCAGTGTTTCAGCTCTGCCCGCAGCGCTGTTTGCCCGTGGGGCGTGCAGAGCAGCCCCGGTCTGTGCCAGGGGCACCGGCTGCACCTCGGTTTTGCCGAACGCACCCTTCGCGGCAGCCTCCTGCAAAGCCCCGCAGCCTCCGGGCGTATCTCAGGGGCTGGGAAGGTCTCAGCAGCGCGATCCCTCAGGATTGTTTGAAGCCAGATGTGCAGCAGAGCCTTTTTGGCGTATAAATATCTTGTCCCCATCCCTAATTTAGTTCATCTCCTGACCAGAAGCTTTCAGTTACTCGGCGCGTCGCTGCGCTCAGTCACGCTATCCAGCGTGGGCTGCGATTTCAATGAGTTGTCCCAGACTCTGGTGTCGCGTTGACCAACACCTTCCCCAGAACAGAGGCGTTTGCATCAGGAGGAGCCGGTCCCTCCTTGGCACGGCCCAGGGATTGCAGGGGGATTGCCAATGCCTGGTGTATGTGGTGGGCTGGGGGCTTTGGCTCCAGTAAATGGGATTTCCCAGCCTTCGTGGTTACAGAGAAGACCTTAAATATACACTCAAAGGTCAAACCCTTGGAGACAAAGATCCCCAGCCACAGGTGCTTCTTGTTACTTATAGAGATCTTAGGATTTTTAAATAGATCTGGGGATTTCCAACCGCATATTCTGATTTTGGGGGCTGAATTTACTATTTGAGGTTTATGGGCTGGCATGGCATTGCTGAGCTAATGGTTCTCTGCAGAAGCTCTCATCTTCATATTTGGATCATGTGTGTGTTTGCAGTGTATCCCATATAAGCTATTTTCCCCTTGATGTCCAGGCTCTTTCCCCATCCTCTTGGAGTAGCCAGATCTTTTAAGGAGCGTGTGTACCCTGTGAATGTGTTATAACTCAGTTTAATATGTGACTAAACCAGCCATGCAATATTGCAATTAAAGTATAATACCAGAGGTGTGAACAATGCCAGCTTTTTGCTGTGCATGAGTCATGACAGCAGAGGAGGAACCGAGCAGCAGTATTTTACTAATTGACTCCAGCAGATTTATTTGTCCTCAGTGAATAGAGGCGGGCAGGGCTGTCGGAATTGTTCCTGCTCCACTCACACAACGCTGCTCCGTGCCTGGCTCCTGGCGAGCAGGAGCTGATCCTGGGGACAGAGAGCAACTGCAGGGATGGAGACAGTTCTCGGCTGAGTGATCTGTTAAATGCTTTTTGTTAGTGAGCGTGGAGCGAACCGGGGGCTCCCGGTGCTGTTTGGAAATGGCCTCTTGTGCCCGGCAGTGAACCTCCTGCTGCTTTTCCACAGGTCCTGTCCTGCGGGGTGAGCAAATGCCACGGGGAAGGTGGCACCGGCTGGAGGGACCCATGGCACCGTACTCAGCCCAGGGACCGCTGCCCTGGGCCGAGGCGCAGGGTCTGGTCGGTGCCGGCGTTTGCGCAGGGCTGCTGTTCAGGTTCGCTCGCGGGGCTCGGCGGCAGGCTCAGTGCATCTGAATGCAAATGCATCCAGGATTACAAAAAAGCCAGGGAGGGAGAGCAGAGCGTGTCCACGGAGCGGGAATCATCCCCCCCATCCTCCGGATGCGTCAGCGATTCCTCTGGGTACTGAGCCAGAGCAGGGCTGTCCCTGGGGACAAAAACCTGAGGGTTAACCGGCATTGCCAAAATAAACTTTCTCCCAGAGTTCGTGCCAAGTTTCCCACGTTTTGCAAGTGGGTTTTGCTCTCAACAGCCTCTGGAAGCCCCTTGGAGCAGCTCGGGGCTGTGAGCCAGCGCGGCGGCTGAGGCTGGGTGAGCACTGGGGACGTGGCTGTCATGCACAGCCTTGCTACGGGCAGGAGAGAGCCCGGGTGACCTTCAGAGGTGACTGCTCCGCTTAATGGCTTTGAATCTGATTATACCCTGTTTCGCTAAGAAATGTGCTTGGCACGTTCTTCTGAATTAAATACCATTTTAGGGACAGTTATCTTGAACCCTCTGCTTGCTGCTTAGGAAAAAGCCTTTGAAAATTATATTATGGATCAAAAGTGTTCCTGGGGTAATTCTGTTTCAACAGTGGAGTTAATCCAGAACTGAATTTGGCCCTGCATTTCCAAATGAGAAGTGGTAGCTGTATAATCTGTTTACGGTTTTAGAGTGAATGTTAATCTTGGATTTGGTGGCTTTTCCCAAGGGTCGCTTTGCCGTACTGCAGAGTATTTTAGCCCCCTGCTCTGAAACTCTCTGAGCCGACTGCGTTTTTATTTAAAGAGAGATTTTACTGTGTTTATAAATACATGTCAGACCTGGAAGTGTTAAATCTGGGGAGCCCTCGGTAGTGGAAGTAATGCCATTTTTCTGACCTTGCATTTTGTTTGTACAGCACCTGGCACGGCGCATCCAAGCTCCGGCATGCCAGCCGCGCTGCGGGGATGGCACGGTGCCACGAGGACGCGGTTAGACGTCTCGAATTGAAGCAAACGTCTGCTGTTGAGCCGTGGGATCTTGCCACGTGTCCGGGTGCTCTGTCCCGCAGGTGACTTTCTCCCCTCTCCCCTCCGCAGGTGGGAGGATGCTGCAGCGTGCCGGGGGCTGACGCGCGGTGCCGCCGGCCGCGGGGAGCAGGACCCCCGCCGCCCGCCCATGCTCCCCACCGGCCGCCGGGGCA